GCCCAGAGAGACAGGGGCTTTGTTTCTCTCACAAATGCCTCCTCAATGCCCACATCCTGGGCAATAGACCTCAAGAACCTTGCTTCACCGCCATCAGGGTTTATGGCATCACCCGTGGAGTCCCAAACTCGGATCATCCAGGTCAGTATGGGCTCATTCGGGTAATGAATGACGTTTGCCCGTAATTTCCGGAGGTTGTCATATGACAAGGACTCAGTGATGATTTCTGGCTCTGGGTTAGTTGCCTGTGAGGGTCCTGCCTCCCCATCATCATCAACTGGGCGGGTTGATTTGGTCTTATATTTCCTCTTTTGGAAAGGGGCAACCTCCATATACTTGTTCTGTCCCTTAGAATAGGCCTTATCTGGAGTCAGTCTGGTATCAGACATCTTCTATTTTTCTTTTCCTTTTCCCTGTGAGGGTTACACCATATCGTTGGTGGGGGGTCCCCGCTAATCAGACCCTCAGGCACATTTTGTATAGGAGACGAGCCCCCAGATAGGTGACTCACAAAATGGCGTTTATTAAAACAAGGTGTCAGTTTATATAGAGGGGTACATAGAAGGGTCTCGAACAAGGGTGGGATTCTTGCCAGGGGCACGAATCCTAAGGGTTAGAGATAAGGGAAAATGGAGGGATTGGCCCAAGGGATATGTCCAGCCATATAGGGAGATTTGGGAGTTAGGGAAGGAAGGGAAGGAATGGTGAGGGGCACAGATAGGGGGGTCCTGCAGGGGTCTGTGGAAGCGGCTTCTTATCGCTGGATCTCAGGCACTTCCTGCAGTCGCAACTGTCAAAGCACTTCTAGATCGATTTCTTGCTCTGAGGTTTCTTCGCAGTCCCTCTGCATCTGTCTCCATTCTCTGTAGGCCTCCATTGCTCCACCCCCGACAACACCATACTGAGCAACTTTCTGTAGGCAGTGGCCAAAACCCCACATGCATCTGCTAGCTACCTCTCTATGGGTCTACCACGACCTCTCTCCCTCACAGCTGTTTTTATCTTTGTAGGGTTTAGGAGTTGTTCGAGAGTGAGTTTCCATGTTGTAGTAGTTGAACAACTTTCTAGAAATTTACCCATATCCTCCCATAACCCATGCCCTTTGAGGTTTTCCACCACTGGGACTGACTTGTGTGCCTGTTCTTGATAATTCCTGGCACTAGCTAAGAATATTAAATATGACACCATGGAACAAACTTGCATGAGAAACCCAAAAAGTAAAACGTTTCTGACATCTAAAAAGAGTTTAAGTTTCCCAGAGACCATTGTATTTGAATCAAAGGGAAAATGTATGAAGGATTGGGCAAATATACTCCCTGTGTTTCTCCATAGGGATGGGTGCCATTATCCTTAAAACCCCAGAGGAGACAGTGTAGACTAGAGCAGTAGTGTATCCTTGAGGACATATCCTGGATGAAAATCACAGGTGTTGAGTTTGCTATGTCATAAACCCAATGAAAAAATTCAAACGTACTTATTGAAATGAGGGTCATAGTATCTGAGTTGAAATACACTGACAGGTTGGACAGATATCTCGGCATAATTATATGCCAGAGGAAAACAATGACCCCAGACTTCATGGTGCCTACAGGTTCAAACACATATAAAGTCACACAAGGGCAGTTATTCCTTTTCCACTTTCCTGAGCCCCACATTGGGCGCCAAAAATGTCTGAGTTTAAAATGAGACACAGGTATTTTGCTGAGGATGAGTTATGAGGAAGACCCAAACTCCTCCTTCTAAGCAATTATAAATCTGAAAATAAGAGGTTCCGATTGAGGGAAAAAAGTTGTGGAAAAAGGAAAAATAAAAGCCCTTTATTTAAAGATATATGTGTATTGGTAGAAACAACAAAAGAAAACAAGTAAAAAACCCAAACGATACTCCTATACCCACAAATAATCCCCTTCAAAAAAAACCCCAATAAACAAGCAAAGAAAAAAAAAGTAAACCGTTCAGTTTTCACCCTTTGGTGCAATTCTAACCACAACCAAAAGGGGGTGCCGTCAGATCACCTGAGATGAAGAGCTTGTAGTGTCCTGTGTAAGTCACCAGGTCGCGCTGTTGGATCACTGAAAATGCAGAGCCTGCAGTTCTTTATGTTGGTCAGCAGGGGGAGCTGTGGAATCACTGATCGTTGCCATGTGGGGGTAACACGCTGCAGGGTGTGTTGGAGAACCAAAAAAAAAATGGGTTTCCCTCTCACCCCCCACACACTGGGAAAGGGGAGAGAGAGGGGAGAGAAACAACAAAAAAAGTCCTCCCCAATGGGAAAACAAAACTCACTCTGTCCAGCTGGTCGAATCGTTTGGTATAGTTTTCCTTCTTGTCCCAGTTTAAATGAGACAAGGGTCTTTTGCTGAGGATGGATTAGGAGGAAAAGACCCAAACTTCTCTTTCCAAGCAATTATAAATCCAAAATTAAGAGGCTTCGATTAAAGGAAAACAAATTATGGAAAAGGGAAAATAACAACCCTTTATTAAAAGGTATGTGTGTATTAACAGGAACACGAAAAAAACCCCAAGTAAAATAACTAAGCAATACTCCTATACCCACCAATAATCCCCTTTAAGAACAAAACCGATAAACCGGCAAGAAGAAGATGAAACAGTTCAATTTTTTGCACCCTTTGATGCAGTTCCAACCACAGTCAGCAGGGGGCACCGTCGAGTCACTGGAGATGCAAAATTTGTAATGTCCTGTATCATTCACCAGGTGGCGCTGTTGGGTCACTGAAGGTGCAAAAACTTGTAGTGTCCTATTGTAGTCACCAGGTGGCGCTGTTGGATCACTGGAGGAGTAGAACTTGTAATGTCCAGTGCCCGTCACCAGGCAGCGCTATGGAATCCCTAGTCACTGCCCTGTGGGATGGGGAAAAAAAAAAAAAAAACAAAACAATACTCTCCAGGTACAAACCAAAAACCAAAAAAAACTCGGTTCCCCTTCCCTTCCCACACTGGGGAAGGAGAGAGAGAGAGGGACTGGGGAGGGGGAAGGGGAAAGGAAAAGAAAAAAAAAACAGCAATAAAACAGAAAGTTCTCCCAATGGAAGAAAACTCACGAACTTCAGCTGATTAGTATTAGTATTAGTATTAAGCAGGGCCTGCAGCCAGCAACAGCTGAGAAGAGAACAGCAACAAACTCCACTCTGACAGGAAGAAAAGAAGCAAACTAGGCAGCTCTGCAGCTTACAGCAGGTCCTCGCCTCACTGGCCCACACACACCAGCCACACCTCTCTTCCCCACCTCCTTCCAGCCCCACACACTAGCTCCCCCTCAACTCTTCCCCCTTCGTTGTCAAGGAGACTAATCTCTCGGCTATTACTGGGCCAGGCCGATTCTTTTGTTCACCTAATGGGCAATATACAGAGCACACACACACGGCAGGGGGAAGGGGAAGAAAAAATTCTTTGCTAAAATCAGAACTATGACAAGGAGGTTGCAGCAAACAGTGGCACCGGTGAGGTGAGAGGAGCAGGTGGAGAGACCTTGTGCCTGCCCCCGCTGGGCAGGAGTTGCCCCAGGAAGGCAGCTCTGAAGCATTCACAGGATGTCCCTGTGAACAGGAGGGGAAGACTGGATTTCAAAATGAACCATGGAAAGTAAACAGCAGGAGTGTCATGGTGTCACTGCACGAGAGTTCCAGCCCTGGAGCAAGGGCACAGAAGAAGTGACCCAGGACATACCCTGCCCTCAGAAGATCCCACAGCATCCTGTAGATGCTGTAGGGGAGGCCAGTTCTGCTTCACAAGTTCCCAGTGCCTGTCCCTGCCTGTGCTCAAAGCACTTCCACCCCCCAGGACTGTGCTCAGAGAGCACTCAGGCGTTACAGCGAGAAAGGGGCTCAGAAGGACAGTGTGGAAGGGGAAAGAGAGCAGCTCTGCAAAGACCAAGCTCTGCTCTTCCCTGGAAGTGCTGCTGTGCTGGGATTATTGTCCCCTTCCCCTTTGCAAATACACCCTGTCCTGCAGTGTGTTGTCCTTTAGGAACACCTAAGAAGAAGGATCTTGGACAAAGAAGGCACTGCAGGGTCCTTTATTTTGTTTAAATACTCAGAAAACACGATTCATCATTTATACATCTCTGGATCAAAATCAAAAGGTGGACTATAGATGGCAGGAGCACAGATTCATCACGACAACCAATATGACTAAGCTATGAATCGTTTATTAAGACACACAGTACACATTTTATACATTTTTGTACCCTCGTGGGTGCAGGATTAAAGTCTAGGGATTGGATAACTCAGTCTGTCCACGAGTCCATGCCTTATGTTCATTGGACAAGATGCAGGGTTGATGTTTTGCACCTGGATACCAGCTCCTACCGTCGGTTCTCATAACATGGAATAATTGTTGATCGTAAACTATTTCCATTCTCAGGGGAAGTTAGTCTAAGACCACAGTTGTCAATTATAAACTTTCTTCCCATGGGAAGCCTGAGGCTTCTTTCACAACTGGTAATATGGGTTGTTCACCAGGTGTCCATTTTCCTGCAAATACTCCACAGTGGACACTAAATTAGAAGGAAGATTCATAATAATATTTCATTGTACAGAAAATTATTGCAACAACAACCTGATAACCTCCATGAAAAACCTGAGCAGGAAGTCTGGGCCATTAAGGAGTCCCATTCTGAATGTTACATAGCAGAATCCAGGCAGTTTGATGCTTCTGAAAAGCATCCAGTCATCATTTTTCTCAGAGCATCATTGAGCTCAGTTCCGCAGGCTGTAGATGAGGGGGTTCAGGGCTGGAGGCACCACTGAGTACAGAACTGACACAATCACATCCTGGGATGGGGAGGAGATGGAGGGGGGCTTTAGGTGGGAAAAAATGGCAGTCCTGAGGAACAGGGAGACCACGGCAGGGTGAGGGAGGCACGTGGAAAAGGCTTTGTGCCGTTCCTGCTCAGAGGGGATCCTCAGCACAACCCTGAAGATCTGCACATAGGAGAAAACAATGAAAACAAACCAAATAAATGATAAACAGGCACTAACCCCAAGAAGCCCAAGTTCCCTGAGGTAGTCTGATTGTGAGCAGGAGAGTTTGATGTGGGGGATTTCACAGAAGAACTGGCTCAGGGCACTGCTCTGGCACAGGGGCAGGGAAAATGTATTGGCTGAGCGCAGCAGAGCTTTGAGAAACCCAGTGGCCCAGGCAGCTGCGGCCATGTGGGCACAAGTTCTGCTGCCCAGGAGGGTCCCATAGTGCAGGGGTTTGCAGATGGCAACATAGCGGTCATAGCACACGATGATGATGAGGAAATACTCTGCTCCAAAAAAGAATATGAGGAGAAAAACCTGTGCAACAAATCCCATGGAGGAGCTGTCCCTGGTGTCCCAGAGGGAATTGTGCATGGCTTTGGGGATAGTGGTGCAGATGCAGCCCAGGTCTGTGAGGGAAAGGTGGAGCAGGAAGAAGTCCCTGGGGATGTGCAGATGGTGGTCGCAGGCTACGGTGCTGAGAATGAGGTCGTTGCACAGGAGGGCAGCCAGGGAGATGCCCAGGAAGAGACACAAGTGCAGGAGCTGCAGCTCCTGCCTGTCTGCCAATGCCAGCAGGAGGAACTGTGCTGTGGAGGTGCTGTTGGGCATTTGCTGCTTCCCAGCACAGGGACACTGTTCAGAAACATGAAAGGACCAGGAGAAGTTAAGACAGACTCCTCGAAGCAAAGCAACTATATTTCTCATAGAAATCCCCAGAACTGAAAGACTTTTCCTTTCTCTTGTTTGTGGTGGCTGAAGGTGCTGTGAGGAACAGGAACTCTGCCCATGTGCTGCTAAGTGCTCAGTTCTCCTCTGCTCCAGTGGGGACATGGAGCTGGTCTGTGATAGCATCAAACACTCCCAAGGGATGTCGGGCATCATCCACCTTTAATGGAAAAGTTCAGTCTCCACTCTCCAGACATGGAACAGTGTGTGCTTCACTGGAAAGGCTTAGCATGTCCTTAAAATAATGTTGTCTGTGTTTATTATTTTCTATGGTTGCATCTGGTACCTGTTCTTGTTAGGAGTACAAATCCTCATTTTTATGATGCAAAATGTAAGGAGACTTTAAACAAGAGAGGACAAACAGCTCAGCTCTCTGTAGCTTAGTGCAGAGCCAGGAGACCTGCAGTGTCCCTCAGTCTGTTCCCATCTGCCCTGTGCTTTCCCTCATACTGCCCGAAGATAACTTCACATGCAAATTAATTGTTAATAAACCCAAATACTTACAGTCTGATTAGTGCAGGGTAGCACTCTTTAAAAAGGTAGATTTGTTAAATCTTCTCTGTTCCAGCCCAGCAATGCAGCATTGCCCAAGGGAATCTCTGGCTGTGCAGGCTCTGATGGCAACATCAGAGCAACCCTCAAGAGGTTGGAAAAGTGACCCAGAGCTACATGTAAGGCACAGGTGTGGGGATTTCTGATACTGCCTGGTCTATTCTCCTCTAAGAGGAATAGATTTGTAGTTTCACTGCCTCTGCCTGAACTGTGATATTAATTTTTGTGACCAGTTTCCCACCTAGAAAACACATATTTGAAGATGGAAAGAACAGGATCCATCACTTTCAGGTATCCCATGACTTGCTGTGCTTTCTTAAAACTCCCCTGAGAAATGTTCTGTAATGACCTGGAGCTGTGAGCAGCCCCTGCAACCTACTCTGAACAGGTGAAGAGCCCTTCCCTGCCCTCCCAGGGGTTGCTCCTTGCCCAGAGCCCTTCTCCCCCAGCCCTGGGAGCAGCTCCCTGGGTCAGTTGAGAGCTGCCCCTGGCAGGCAGCAGAGTCCCTGCACAGTGCCTTGGGCTGCAGGACCCTGCTCTGCCCCACAGCCTTAGGCATCCCTGGTTGCACGCCTGGCTTTGCAGCTCTTCTCAGCTGCCCCAAAAGAGTCCCCTCCTCACCCATCCCATCAGCTGGGGCTGGGCCAGCTTTAAGAGATGCCTCCAGGAACTGCCCCTGCACTGCCCTGCACCCACAGACTCCCCGTGTTCAGCCCTGCCAAGATTCCTTCTGCAGTGAACTCTCAGCCATCCTGCCAGTGCTGAACCCCTTGAAACTCTGTCTGTGCCCTGCTCGTGTCCCTGAGCTGCCCTGGCAGTGCCCTCAGCCCTGCTGGGCTGTGCAGAGGAGCTGCTCCTGGGCAGAGCTGTCTCTCTGCAGTGCTGCCCGCTTGCCAGGAGCCTGGCCCAGCTCAGCAGCACGGCAACAGCCCCAGGCATTTCATCATCACCCTCCTGGGGTTTGGTGTTGTTTACATGAGACAGTCCCTAAGTGCAAACAACTTTTCAAGAACTCAAAGTCAGATTGAAACACTAAAGTTTCTTGCAGTGCTAATGAGTCTCACTGAGGGACACAACTGGTTACGTGTCCCCAAGTTCCAATTAGAGCAGAAAACTTCAGACAGTGATGATAAGGATGGACAATCAAGGCAAAGGTGGCTCTGATGCTGAATAAACTTTGACTTGTTTCCTTAATCCAAAGGGCCAAGGCCTCACCCCCAACCCCTGGGAAAGCAGATCCTGTCCCTGCCTCATTCCTCAGGACTCTTCCTGGGGCACTGGGATGTGGGATGTGCAATGCCAAGGGCATGATGATGGGGTGGCACCTCCCAGGCTGCTGAGCAGGGACAAGGAGGCCATGAGGCCCCAGGGCTGCAAGGGCCACTTGTCTCCTCCTGGCATCAGTGGCACGGACAGCAGCCATGGCCAAAGGTCTGCAGAAGGTGGCTCTGTCAGGGCCTTTCAGCTTCTGCATGTGCCTCCCTCCTGTCTGTAGCAGTTATTAATATAATAAATAATCAGTCCCATTGGGACCACGTGGACACCAACATGGTGTGTAACAGAAGTACCTTTATTCAAAGAGCCACAGTTTATATAGCAGTTTCAAATGTTGACACGTCACACAGGTAACCTTATCAGCCAATCCTATACAAGCATTTCACTGAGTATGTGTGACAGAGTACTTAGAACTACAACTCCCAGGATACTTTGTAGCACCTGGTGTAACTAGACCCCACACCTGTCCAGTCCAGGCTGTCCTAAGGTGTCCATGCCCTGCCCCTTTCCCTGCAGGCTGTCATCATCCCCCTGGCTACCCCACTTCGCTGGCCCCTTCCTGAACTGACATCTCTCCGTCCTCCCCGACTCTTCCTTTGGGCACACAAAGCCTTGGGCTTATCAAGACTCCTTTGTGACATATTGCACCACAACACTGACCTTGGAGGGAAATTTCATACTTCTTGTCACCGATCTGGGCCACCCCAGGTGCCCTTGGTGGCACTAGTTCTTTCTTATGCTCTTTTCTGCCATGAAGAAAAGCTCCACCATCTCTGACATCACCCTTCCAGACCTCTCAGGCTACTCCTCTACTGTCCTCAATCTTCGCACCTCTGACCCCAGAGTCCTCAGCCTCTATATGTGGGTCATGTGCTTGAGGCTCCAAATTCCTTCCTGGGAGATCTCTGTGACCTCTCCAAGGTTTTGGAAGAGGACAATACAGTGCTCTTATCCCAGAAAACAGAGTGACACTTTTTTCCAAGGGTTATCTTGGCAGAATGAGGCACAATATCTTTAACCTTTCTGGGACAAGGGAGCTCTAAGCCCTGACTATGGATGGAGGTCTAAGTGCCAACCACTGGAGTGGGAGTTACAAATCATCAGGTCTTATGTTCTTTGGAGGACCAGACACTGGTGAGACTGCTGTGTGTGCACATGTGTGTGCACTTGAAGGGCACAAGGAACTGTCTCAAAACACTGTCAAAGAAGGGAAATCCCATAAGGTGCCCCAACACAGAAGCACTGGTGGCAAAAAGGAAGGCATTTAATTCCAAGGCCTGAACAGAGGTGAAGCTCTGGAAGTAACACACAGGACAGAAGTGCACTGTGCAGACTGTGGGAAAGAGCGGAGAGCCACAACAGGAAGCCAGGGTTGGTAAGGTAGGTGTGGGGAACCCATCCAGACAAAGATTCCCACCTGCAGACTGTAAGCACACTGGGCAAAACTCCCACCATGACAAACTGTGGGAAAGGAAGCAAGTCCTTGTACATGTGCCAGCCCAAGCCGTGGGAACAACATCTACCCCCCTAAATACCCGGGCCTTGGACTATATAAAAGTGATCCCCCAGAAGTACAACTTCGGGACCCGCCACCGACAGACCAGGGTGAAGAAGGACCGGTGGAATACCTCCAGGATCTCCATGGTGTGATATATTTACTGAATCTCTGTCTCACTGTCTTCCCACCACCCCCTTCCTCTCTCTCCCTCTCCCTCATATTTACTGTTCAATCAAACCCCTACTGCTGACTTTGGCATATGGTCTCCTTTTCACCTGGATTCGGGTAGACACGTCTTTTAATAATGGGAACCTGACAGTATCCCTGAGGTTTTACAGTGTCGGAATGGCCACAAGATTCCAGGAGGTTCCACAGAGTCACAGGGTCCATTTGGCTTTGTCAGGCTCTGTAGTGTGATAATGGACCCTTGTTTCCATGAGTTTGCAAAATGTCTCAGGACTCCTTTGGTTGTAGGAGGCCCCACATATCACAGTGGCCCCTTGGTTCCATGAGATTCCACAGCGTCCCAGGATTCCTTTGGTTCCATGAGGTTCCATAGTGTCACAAAAACCCCTTGATTCCATGAGGTTCCACAGTGTCCTAGTGTTCCTTTGGTTCCAGGAGGGCCTGCAGTGTCACAGTGGTCCCTTGATTCCATTGTTCCACAGAGTCCCAGGGTCCATTTAACTCTATAAGGCTTTGCAGTGTGGCAATGGTCCCTTGATTCTACAAGGTCCTGAAATGTTTCAGGGTTCCTTTGGTTCCACGAGGCCTCACATATCACAAAGGCCCTTTGACTCCATCAGGTTCCACAGTGTCACAACGGTCACTTGGGCTCAATAATGCCCTGCAGTGTCAAAATGTCTCCTTGCTTCCATGAGTTTCCACAGTGCCAATTCTTGATTTCTTGAGGTCCACAATGTCCCAGAGTCTCTTTGTCTCCATGACTCTGAAGTGTCACAGTGGTCCCTTGATTCCATGAGTGTTGTCACGTGCGAGACCCAGTGGAAACTTCACACACACCAATATGATGTTCGGAAGCTCCATTTTTATTGGAAATTACACTTACTTATATACAATTCAATAATAAAATAATAATGGCCAGTCTTCGCGAGCGAAGATCCGGGGAAGGTCTTTACACCTTCCAGCCTGCGCATTGGATTTTTTAGGTGAGACACAGTGTGCGCGGAACTGAGCCCACCCTTTAATCCTAAGGTTCATCTGCCGGGGCCAAGCAGGCTTGGACGGTGGCAGCGAGGTCCTTAGGACGTAGGTGGGCTGCCTTTAAGGGCTAACGAGCCCCACCTGCCCGGGAGTGGCCCTGACCGGGAATCGAACTCGGGTCTCCGCGGTGATAGCGCGGCGCCTTTACCCCCTAGACCACCAGGGGCTCCACAATTCAATAACTACTACATATTTGACTACTTAACTTATTATTGGTCACACACACTGTTCACACGATTATTATTGGTTAGTCAACATATCTTATTTTCTAAATTCTTTTCCTTCTAAATCTAACCACAACACTTCTATTCACATGCCTCCTGGCAGGTTCAGC